TATATATATATATATATATATATATATATATATATATATATATATATATATTATAATGCAATGTTGCTGCAATATTACGTAGCAATATTTCTCAGGTGGACATTTTATCATTGCTACACACTATCTTGTTACAATATTTCTGCAATGTTGCAATCTTGCAGGAAACATTGTTGCAATGTTGCTGCAATATTAATGTGCTGTATGGGATAAAAACTATCCTAAGAAACAGTTGCAGTAATATTGTAATTATAAATAATAGTTGAAATTATAATACACCCAGTGAGAAATTATCAGTTGAAAAGCCCTTATAGAAATATCATACTAAGAATCATTGATAATTACTTATTATCCAGTATTTTTAATACTGAAAATAAGTAATTATCAATAATTCTTAATATGATATTTCTATAAGGGAGACGTCGAATCAACGACTATTAAAACAAAGAATCTGGAAGATATATACATCTAAATTTTGATTAATTATCCAGATAGCACATGGACGTCTTATGAACGTCCAGTGGACGTTCAAGTTTGGATATTCGTCTACCCTTATAGAAATATCATACTAAGAATTATTGATAATTACTTATTATCCAGTATTTTTAATATTGAAAATAAGTAATTATCAATGATTCTTAGTATGATATTTCTATAAGGGTATAAGACGTCCGAATAAAGCCCAACAAACGTCTGGTAGATGTTCATTTTTACCTTTGAACGTTCTTGGAATATTCAAAAAAGACCTACACTGGATATTATTTTTAGTGTCCTGCCATTCATAGCTTTCAAAATAGATATTTAAAAATATACAAAGAAGAGGTTTATGAATAATAACCCAGATAGCACGTGGACGTCTGATAGACGTCCAGTGGACGTTCAAGTTTGGATATTAGGACGTCCATAAGACGTCCGAATAAAGCCCAACAGAAAACCGGTGGACGTTTATAAGATATCCGTTTTACCTATTTTGGAATATCTATCTTGGAATATTCAAAAAAGAACCTACTGGACATTATTTACCCTTATAGAAATGTAATACTGATAAGTAATAATTTGGCCAGTGATAATTATTGAACGACAGTAATTATCACTGGCCAAATTATTACTTATCAGTATTACATTTCTATAAGGGTAGTGTCCTTATTCGATTCAATTTTCTAACAGAAACTATTCATAAATGTCACAACGTTTGCTGATTTCACTTGAAAATTTTGGATTACTTGGTTCCAATGTTACATCACATTTAAAAATTCTCACTGACACTGGTGCCCTTACAGAAATATCATATTAAGAATCATTGATAATTACTTATTTTCAGTATTAAAAATACTGGATAATAAGTAATTATCAATGATTCTTAGTATGATATTTCTATAAGGGTGGGACTCGAATTTGAATCCACTAGACACCTCTCGATTATGAATCTGTACCTTTAGACACGACATCACTTCATCGATCGATATAAACATTTTAAATTTTGTCTATATATATTGTAAATAACACAGTAATATAATTTTCTGATAATACCCTTATAGAAATATCATACTAAGAATCACTGATAATTACTTATTATCCAGTATTTTTAATACTGAAAATAAGTAATTATCAATGGGCGCATTCAGTAGAAAAAGCGCTCAGTGAGCAATCAACGATTATTGGTTCTTGCTATTAGATCCCTAAATCTAAACCAATTACATTGACAAATTACTCAACTGTTGTGCAACTGTTGAGTCTGCTGAATGCAGCCAATGATTCTTAGTGTGATATTTCTATAAGGGTATGACTTAATAAAATTATTTAATTTCAATAAAAATTATATTTTTTGTACTTATATTGTTAAATTTAATCCTTAGCTAATGAGATAAGGTCTATAAAATTCTGCACATTCCATTTCGTTATCTTTAATTTTTTATAGTAAAAACTCTTTATTGTTAACTGTTATTGAATAAAGTCATAAAAGACTACATACTTTGAATAATTATAAAATAGTACTACTAAAAAAAAAGAAAAATCTACCTTATATAAAATTTAATTAAAATAATTAAATTTATATATAAACATACAAATCAGCGCTTATTATAAGCGATGGGGTATCTGTCTAATGTAACCATAAAATGTAAATAAAATTAGTTAATAATAGTAATTTCTCACAAATTTTCAGAGTATTCCAAGTAATGATTCGCGAAATATTTATTATAATAAAATTCCAAAGAATACTAGATTTGAGGCTTTCACGGCCATTAATACAATTTATAGCTTCCGGAATGGAGCCGTGTCTTGAATCAGCGATGTGCCGACGTTTCGCAAACGTTGCAGTTTGCATCATCAGAACTAAGAACTCTGATACTGAGCTCCCTTGGGTAAAGGTAGTCCTTATATGCCTACCCTACCCCTTGTGTAGATGGCGCTGGGGGTAGGGGACGTAGCTTGAATCCAGCCAATCAACGCATTTTAATTGATCAGCTGGTTAATTAAAAAACTGGGAGGGCAGTGTGCCAAATAGAGTTTACTTGCGTACCTTTTTCTCAGTTGAGATTGTTGGGATGTTTTAAAATTTCTAGACCTCCGCGATGTTTTCTTGCAAAATAATTCTGTGATGGAGCCAGTCTGGTGGTCTTGTCATATTGTACGGAGTGTCCAGTCTCCATCCAGTGTTCAGCTAGGGCTGATTGAGCAAAGTGGCCGTACTTAGTATATCGCTAGTATTCTTTGATTCGCGTACTGATCTTCCTCCCGCTTTCCCCTATATAAACTTTACTACAAGAGCAAGGGATCTTATATACATCTGAAGTCTCCAGGCATGATTTATGATCCTTCGGATTTGGGAGTAAATGGGAAATTTTTCTATGGGGTTTGAAGATTACTTTGGTATCGTGTTTACCCAGAACCCTGTTGATAGGTTCTGTTATGCCTTGAAGATATGGAAGGACAACTGTCTATTTCTTTTCTCTCTCTTCATCTAGTGTGTCAGCGTTTTTAGTACTGAGCATTCTGTTCTTCAGGTTTTGTATTGTTTGCGAGATGTTTTTGCTGTTGTATCCATTTTTGGTTAAAGCTGTACTGAGGTGTTCTAATTCTCCATCCAGAGAAGATGATTCTGAAATTGTGAGCACTCTGTAAACCAATGAACTTATGACAGAATTCTTTTGCGA